TGAACAAAGCTGCTTCCTGCGGTGTGTGTGCCCTGTCACATGTCCCAGGTTGCTTGTGGTTCCCTTGCTTTAGTCGTCTCCACTGTGTCCTTTTACCCGTCTGCTTAGCTAAACGAGGGTCTTCTGCTGCTGTCTTCAGGCCCAACCAACATCTGTGGCTGGCGTGGCCACCCTCCGGCTGTCCTTCTGTAGCTGTTGGTACTGTGGCTGTCTGGCAGCATGCTGGGGGCTGTGTGTCTTTCCTCCACCATGGACAGTATGAATATTTTGGAATAGTGATTCCAGTCTGGATGGTATTGGTAATGAGAGGACACCTAGTAATCTGTGCTTGTGTAAGAGTGATGTGCTGTAAAATAGCTTGCTAACCTACCATCTTGGCTATTGGGTGGTTCTTCCGCCCCTTGTGATAGAACACTCTGGACTAATGGTGCTCATGCACATAAAAACCTGAACATGCATCTTTCCAGTAAAATACCCGTCATCCTGTCATCCTGTCTTACCAGTGCTGCTCTGAGTTATCCCAGCGGCCATTTCCATGCCCTTGTGGATACTTTAGGTACTACACAGAACAAGGCATAACCCTGCTGGTTTTGAACATGGTACACACCAGTGATAAGGAGCTTATAAAGAAGGAAATAGGTAGGATGCTAGCAGACTGCAGTAAAAAGAAAGGGAGAATTAGGAGTGGTAAGCCAGGGTAGTAGCATGGCTTCAGACAGGATAGGCCTTCTTAAGGACGTGGGGTTTGTACACAATATGAAGTGGTAGAGAGCAGAGATGGCTCAAGGGTCAAGGGTCAAGGTGCTTGCCGCACAAGCCTGACCTGGGTTCAGTCCCTGGAGCCCTTGTACAGGTAGGGAACGGGTTCTACAAAGTTGTCCTCTGCCCTACACACACAACTAATAATGTCATTGTTTTTGGTTGTAAACGAGTCCAACCCATAGAAATCTAGGGGAAGCGCGTCCCAGACAGAGCATCAGTCAGTGCAGAGATCCTGGGCAGAAAGCTGCATGCTGTGTTAGAGCCAGCGTGGGAAACCCAGTGCGCAGGTCAGAGGTGACTGGGACAGAGTACTGGTCTGGAGGGATTCTCTGTCTTGCTCTGAGGGAGGGAGGGAGGGAGGGAGGGAGGGAGGGCTTATGATCCCCTTTGTACTTTTGAAAAGAAGCACCCTGCCCTCGAGGTGAGGACTGGTGGTTGGATGTCAGCTCCTGGAGCTGGTTTAGGATAGGGAGACATGCTCTGCCTTTCTGTAATCGCTTTGGACAGAGCCAGTGGTGGTGAAGGCTTCAGGCTACAACAACAGGGTTTTTTGTTTTTTGGGTTTTTTTTTAACCTTCATTGTATTGTGCTTTCAAACGGTTCAGACCAGAGAATCTTGACAACCAGGTATCACCCGGGCAGAACTTAGTAAAGGAGACTCTGGGACAGGACTCAGTCTAGAGTTCTGAGAACTGCCAACCCTGAGTCCAGTGCAGTTGGTTTCACTGGGGGATGTGTTAAGTTTAGAGGACACCACCTTCACAAGAGAGAAGCAAGATTGAAGATGTGAGGTCATCCCTTTGGCCTTTAGTTTATAAAACAGTCTCACCTAATCTTTAAAGACGGGGTATTGGATAGCTCTCCAACTGCTGTAGTGCACTCCAGCCTTCCTGGACTCATTTTAGGAGCTGAATAAGAAGAACAGCGTGTCTTCTCCGTTGCCGTTGAGAGTGCTCGACAGCGTCAGATGCTGTAGAGACACGGGCTCTGGTGGTGCCTCTTTCGGGTTATCCATCTTGCTTTCATGATGCTGGGGTGGAACCAGGCTTGACCTTCTAAGTGAGTTCATCTGCATTTGCCTCTCCACACCCTGCTCACTGATCTGAGAAGTGACCTATCTTCCGGAAGCAGTACCTTTGGGTGGGCTTGCTCCTGTCCTTGCTGTACGAGTTGCTTTGGAGCTTTTTCCATATATGAGCCACAACCTGATACTTGATGGTCATAGATTGATCTTGGATCTTGTGGGAACAGCGTGGAGTGAAATAACAATTCTGCCATAAATAGTGCTTTAGTTGACTTTGCTGTATCCTAGGAGCAGTGTGGTGTTTTTGCCTATGGAGATGACAGTCTCACCCTCCTAGAAATGTCTGTGATAAGAACATCAGAAGCACCGCACCCACTATATACATCTCCCAGATCATCCGATACAGTCGTGTGTTAGAGAAAGGTACTGAGAGTTACACAGGGGCTGTGTACCTAACTATTATGTGTGACTGTATGTTTGTAGTGTGTGTCCAGTGATGCACATACAGAGATCTGAGAACGATTTGGGGGAGTTGGTTCTTCCCAATCCACCATGGGTCACCCTCTTCAGGGCTCTTACATTTATCAGATTATATGCCAGTTTGAGGCTAAAAGTAAAGTTCCTGGAGTAGGTGTTGGGTTACACGCGTCTAATCCCAGCACTCAGACTCAGGAGGGGGGCAGAAGGATGTGGGGGGGGTGCACCTCAGTAGGAGTGTCTGCCAGCATGCACGAGACACGGGGTCCGGTCCTCAGCACTACCAAATATGAGTGACTGGGATTAGGAGGGGACCCTGCTGTGCTCATGACAGTCTTTCTTCAGTATTGAGAAACAGTTAAATTATCCAGAGATGGGTACCCTTCGTTATTATGACATCTAGTAAAATGTTAAAGTTTTATTAGTTTATGTGTGCATGTGTGTGTGAGCAAATTTTATGCCACACAGCATGCAGGTGGAGGCCAGAGAACAGCTTATAGGAAGGAGCCAGTTCTCTCCATGGGGTGGGCCCCGAACATGGGACTCAGGTCATCAGGCTTGACAGCTGCCTTTGATTACATTCTCGTTTGTTTGATTTTGTTTTTTGAGACAGGGTTTCTCAGTGTAGTTTGGTTGTGTGTGGGGAGGGTGTGTATTTATCTGGAGCTGGCATTACAGGCAGTTGTGAACCACTTGACATGGATTCTGGGAACAGAATTGAGGTTCCCTGGAGAGCAGGAAGCATTTTCACTGATAAGCCATTCTTCCTGCCTCCTCATTTAAACATGTAGAGCTCATCCTTTTCCTTAAAGGCAGTATAGACATGCAAGTTTTAGGAAATGAGCTAAAATCTCACTTTAAAGTCACGACCAGGTCAAGGCTTCATACGCTAGTAGACCCACCTGGGCTTTGTGAGGAGCTGCTGAGCTTTCTCTCATGGAGGAGAAACACCTGCCCCACTTACAGACGCAGCCTTGCGCCTCTGCTCTGCTGTCTATGTCCCCATATGGGCGGGGTGCTGTGGTGAGGTTGGGGTGAAGACATTGGGTCTGGAATCTCTGTGGCAAACCTGCTGGACTTGAATGCAGTCGCTCCTCCTGGTCATACCACATAAAGGCGGGGTTACTAGGCAGCACCACACCTTCGAGAAGGAACCTCTGGACCGCCCTTTCCTGTTCCTTCTTCCTTTAAGGGAAATGCAAAGGTAGTGCCAATAAATAGCCTTTTGCTAGTCATTCCTGAAAAAAAGAAAATTATGCTTTGAAAATCCAAGGACACGCCTGTTTAAAACCTACAACATAGGGCCAGAGAGATGACTCATCAGTTAAGAGCACTGGCTGCTCTTCCAGAGGGCCCAGGTTCAATTCCCAGCACCCACATGGCAGCTCACAGCTGTTTGTAACTCAAGGTTCAGGGGATCCGACTCCCTCACACAGACATGGAGGTCAAACACCAAAGCACATTAAAAAACAAACAAACCAAAATCCTGAGTCATTGGTGGCATACGACTTTAATCCCAGCCCTCTGGAGGCAGAGGCAGATCTCTGTGAATTTAAGGCCAACCTAGTCTACATATAACATAGATTTACAATGAGGTAAAAATACGACGATGAGATTGCAAGTGTGTGGTCCTTTATTATGGGCGTGCAGTTAGTTATGCTGGTGTTTCTCTTGCAAAACTAAGAAAAAATGATGGGCTTACCTAGCATTCCTGAAGCCCTGGGTTTGATTGCCCTCACTGTTCTGTTGCTGTGAAGAGATGCCATGACCAAGATAACTTAGAGAGGCAGCATTTGATTGGGAACCTCTTACAGTTTTAGAGGGTTTTTAAGAGGGTCCATTATTAAGGCAGGAGATGGGTGGGGGCAGTGCTGGTGTGGGAGTTTACCTGCAGTGACACTTCCTTCAACAAGGACACACCTCCTGTCTTAGTTAGGGTTAATTTTGCTGTGACGAGCCACCATGACCAAAAGCAACTGGGTGGGGGTGTGGTACTTCATTCATAGTTCCATATCATCAAAAGCTGGGAAGACAGGAAGTCATACAGGAACCTGGAGGAGTTCCATACAGGAGCTGATGCAGAGGCCATGGAGGGTGCTGCTCACTGGCTGCTCAGCCTGCTTTCTTATAGAACTGGAGCCACCAGCCCAGGGATGGCACCACCCACAATGGGCTGGACCCTCCCCATCAATCACTAAATAAGAAAATGATCACAGGCTTGCTTACAGCCCGCTCTTAAGGAGGCGTTTTCTCAATTGAGGCTCCCTCCTCTCTGATGACTCTAGCTTGTGTCAAGTTGGCTGAAAGCAGCCAGCACACCTCCTCATCTCTCCCAAGAGTCCACTAATGGAGGCCAAGCATTCAAAGGCAGACCTGTGGAGACCATTCTCATCAAACCTCCACAGGGACGCCCGGCATCCTAGCATTCAGCGAGGAGAGGCAGGAATCAGGAACTCAAGGTCATCTTTAGTTAAGTTGGAAGTAGCGTGAGCTACATATGGCTTGTCTGAGAAAAGAGGAGAAGCAAAACTGCTTACAGTGGCCCATGTGTCTTTGTAATCTCCATCTTTGCTGTTTTCTTTTCAGAACCTGGAAGAGTGCACAGCAAGCAGGAGTGGGTGTAGATGTGGTCAGATTACATTGCCAGCTTGCAAGTGGCAGCAAGTTTTGCCTGTCATTGTGGTGCCTCCTGGGTGGTCTTTACTGGGTCTGGATGTAACTCTGCTTCTGATTCTAGGTACCTGGTGACCCATCTCATGGGGGCAGACCTGAACAACATCGTGAAGTGTCAGAAGCTTACCGATGACCACGTTCAGTTCCTTATCTACCAGATCCTCCGAGGGCTGAAGGTACAGGCAATAGCAGTATCTGTCATGTGGGGAAGTGTAGTCTCCCTTCTTTCCTGTCTAGTAAGGACTTAGAACAGACAGTTGTTCTTAAGGAAAACTTAGAATCAATCAACCCTGCTGCTCTTGTATTTCCCAGGCCAAGGCTGACTATAAAGCAAGTGTAAGTGCTATGTAATTAATTCCTTTGATCCTTTGGTCTGAATATGGGAGAGAGGAGCACTGTTAGCTGCATTGAAAAGTTAGTAGCTTCTTGGTACACGCTGGTATCTGCCTCGTGTGATACTGAGACTTTAACCGTTCTTCAAGCCTGAGCTGACCTCTGTTCCCTCTCAGGACGTGAGAAAGTAGGGGAGGGAGGACCACGGTGGGCATCCAGGGTTGTGTAGTGAGGTCTTTGGGGGAGGGGCTCTTCAGGAAAGCTAGTCTCATTGTGGGAGGGGCTGGTGAGCTGCTTTAGAGTTAAACCACCTTCGATACTTAGTACATCACAGCCCTTACTGGGGTCACCATCGAGAAAGAGGAAAGGGTGACAGCTGCAGTAGGAGCAGTGTGAGGAACTGAGTGGTGATCACCCACTGGGACACCACCGGACTTGTTGGCTGAGGGCCACCACTGCAGACGTGCTACAGGACGTGACATGGGAAGGCTGGGGGCGGTTTTCATTCCACTGACTTTCTTCTCTTTTGCAGTATATACATTCAGCTGACATAATCCACAGGGTATGTATTGTGTCTTAGATGATGATTTTGATGGTGTGGGTGGGGCTAGAAGAGTGGCATCTAGTTGAGATCTCAACCTTGAGTTTAACTGTTGAAATAGTGATTACTGCAACTGCTCTCAGTGCAGACTGCTAAAGGAGCACTTCCATTGTTCTGCTGAAGGCGAACTTGGCTCAGACACTGACTGTAGCTTGCAGGTCTGCCCGTCTCCTGCGAGTCTCCGTGTGTCTGCATCCTCTGCACCTGTAGCTAGGGGACCCATTGTGCGTCAGCAAGTTGATACTGTTCTAGTGTTCTCTCCGCTTGCTTCCTAGGACCTGAAGCCCAGTAACCTAGCTGTGAACGAAGACTGTGAGCTGAAGGTAAGAAAGAAATCCCCGAGAGTCCCTTAGCCGGCCGGCCAGCCTTAGAGAAAACGGTTCATAAGCCATTGCTTTGAATCCGAAAAGCCATTTGTCCTCAGGAACACCAGGCTGTGGAGCGGTGTACTGTAGGCTAAACAAGCTGTTTAAAGGACATGGGAAGTAGATTTTGGAAGCGCAAGCCTTTAATCCCAGCACTCGGGAGGCAGAGAGAGGCCAGCAGATCTCTGAGTTCAGGCCTTCCTGGGCTACACAAAGAAGCCCTGTCTGGGGGGGGGGGCAGAGGGATTAAATTAAATTAGGAATATAGCATGTTAATTCTAGTAAAGGGGTATTATAATCTGAATGTCAATTAAGCATTCCTGGAATACTCATTATTAGATAGTTTCTAAAAAGAAAAATGGCAGAAACTCAGAATGATTCCAATAAGACAGAAGTGAATTAGCTATCTGTAAAAAGTACATAGTGTTAATTTTTTTTAATGAATTTTTGAAAAAAATAACGTGGAGGGCTGGAGAAATGGCTGATTTCCCAGCACTCACATGGCGCGTAACCGTCCAAACCTAGAGGTCTGATGCCCACTTTTTGTCTCAGTGGGCACTCCGTGTACACTTGGTGTGTAGACATGCATGCAGGCAAAACACATATACATCAAATTTAAAAATGAAAAAATACAATAAGTTATGCCCATTTTAAATTTACCTTTTTTAGGATTCTAACTAATGTCCTTGTAACTACAGTTATGATATAGTAATCTCCATAAATCCCCTCCTAGTGATCCTCAGCCCTAATCCTGATTTCTGACTCTGAATTAGTCTTTTACAGTGTTTCATGTAAGTGGAACCACACACAATACTATGTTACAAGTATTACATTCTCCACCTGCTCTGTGGGCTTCAGTATTGTCCATGTTGCCCAGTAGGGTCCCATCTCACAATGCACTAAAACTTGTAGCCTGCCTTCTTGTTGATGGGCACTTGACACTATTCTGTTTGTAATACCTGCTATTGTACGTCTGTGTGGGCGTATGTTTTTGTTGCTCTTGAGTAAATTCCTAGCGAGGAGTGTGCATTGCTGGCAGCTGTAGAGTAACACTGTTTTCTCTGCGTCGGGGTCAGGCGGCAGAGGTTGCCTGCTCCTGCACCTGACTTCTGCTCTCGCCTGTAGATTCTGGATTTCGGACTGGCTCGGCACACTGATGACGAAATGACAGGCTATGTGGCTACCAGGTGGTACAGAGCCCCTGAGATCATGCTGAACTGGATGCACTACAACCAGACAGGTGATGCTCCAGCCGCCTGCCCAGGCCTGGCCCAGATGAGGGAGGGTGCTGCTAACATGGCTTTCAGATGAGGGAGGGTGCTCTATCTAACATGGCTTTCAGATGAGGGAGGGTGCTCTATCTAACATGGCTTTCAGATGACTCAGGGCCGGGGCTTCACAGATGAGAGTGGGTTGGCACCTCAGCGTTCTCGAGACAGCCACTGTTCACCACTAAGAAAGGTTTGCCCTTTTGTGAGACGTTTGCTTCATTTGGCTTAATTATATTCTGACTTACACGGCCTGTGGAGCCCTTTATTGGGTGACAGTTTTACTAAGGTTATTTATTTCTATAAAAAATGATGGTTGAACCCACGGGTGCCTTAAGTGTTCATTTGTATCTTTCACTCCCGGTTAGAGTTCAGTTTATGTTCATGAATATGATAGAAGCCATGTCTGTGCTTGTACTCTCCTTACTATTCCAGTGGATATTTGGTCCGTGGGCTGCATCATGGCTGAGCTGTTGACCGGAAGAACACTGTTTCCTGGTACAGACCGTATCCTTTAATACGTTTTGGCCTGCTTCTCATCTGTGTTCTGCTGTCGTAGATGTGTTTCCCTTGCTTGTTTGTGGGGAAGACTCAGTTCAGGTGTTGCTTTGGAGGTCTGTCCTCGATGAGTAGCTCACCTTGCCAAGCAAACAAGCTTAACACCACCTGTTGTCTTTTGGCAGCAAGTCCTTATTAGCAAGTTTAGTCTACTGCAAACCCTGAGCAAGTGTGCACAGCCACCTGTACTCAAAGGTATCTTGTCTCGTTTGCTTACATACGGAAAAGACTGTGGGCCCCTGAGCTGACATGCCTGCTGACTCCTGTCCTGTCTGTTGCTTAACAACAAACAGGAGAAGCAAAAGGAGAGAGACCCCCGTTGTGGGCTTTTGTTTTCCACACAACTTGTCCCTGGTCAGTCTCCCTCACCAAACACCCTTTCTGTCTCTGGGCAGGTGTTCCGTGGTTTGTGGGGGAGGCCATTTAGATGAGAATGTTAAAGCAGATGTTTGCCATCAGTCTTTGGGAGGGAGGGCTTTTACAAAACTGCTAAAGGTTCTGGTTGGGCTCTTAGAAACGCCACAGCGACGCGTGCTTCATCATCTAACTGCAGGGTTAGCTCTTGCCTGACACACCAAAGTCTGTAAGCTCACTTGCTGACAGCTTGAGCCGCCTTTCTCCAGGGACTGTCCTGACTGTTTTCTGCTAGACAGTGTCTTTGGTGACGTGGGACCTCTGCTCCTCAGACAATGCCGTCTGCTCCGCTGCGTGCTGCTGGACCAGAGCCCAGCCTCCCGTGCTCAGCTCTCCCTGTCGCTCTCCACTCTGGTGCTTCAGCACCTTCAACTTCTCCCTTCCCTTGGGATTTGGTTTCTTTGTCTTACAGTCCAGGCTGAGAGGGTTAAGAAGTTTGTGACACCCCCATGCAGCCCTCTGAGACCACCCCAAAGCTGTCTCTGTTCTCCTCCCTCCTGTGATGTCTCCTCAGATCCCCTTTGGCTAGTCCCAGACACACGTTCTTTCATAGACAGAAAGCAGCATCTGTAGGAAAACCGCAGCCCTCACTTTTATAGCTCAGATATGCATAGGGGCCCAGTCCCTGGAACTTAGATTTTAGCTCCTTTACTTTCCAACCTTGGTGTTTCTCAGTTTCCTTAACATAAGATGGCATTAGTATACAGCCCAGAAGGTGATTGTGAGAGTTCAGAGACTAGAGCCACCAGGCAGTTAGCAACAGCTTCATCGTGGCCATGGCCATAGATACCTAAGAGAAAGAATTTAAAGGAAGAAAGATTTATTTTGGCTCATGGTGAGGCAGAGCTTCGTGGTGGCGGGAGCACATGCAGAGGAGTCTGCTTACTTCATGAGGGCCCAAAAGCAGGAGCCGGGGTGAGAGAGGAGACAGGAGAGGAAAAAAGCCAGGGACAGCACCCTTCTAGGACACATTCCCAGGGACCTGCTTCCTCTCACCAGGCCCCATCTCTCTCTCTCTCTCTCTCTCTTTTTAAGATGGGTTTTCTTTCTTTTTTTTAAGATTTATTTATTTATTATGTATGCAATGTTCTGCCTGCATGTGTGCCTGCAGGTCTGAAGAGGGCACTCATTATAGATGGTTGTGAGCCACCATGTGGTTGCTGGGAATTGAACTCAGGACCTCTGGAAGAGCAGCCAGTGCTCTTAACCTCTGAGTCATCTCTTCAGCCCCAGGCCCCATCTCCTAATGCTTCCTGCACCAAAATAGCACGACCAGCTGGAGACCAGACCTTCAGGAGGAGGGAGGCATGTAAGGTCCATTCCTAGTCTCTAAAGGCCATACTTATTTTATAGTGCAAAATGCATTCTGGCCACATCCAAGAGTTCAGATCCTCTGAGTCTCAGAGACTCAAGGCAAACTCTGAGCTGCTAGCCCCTGCTAAAAATAGATTATATACTTCCAGTATTCAGTGGTGTAAACATTCTCATCCAAAGGTAAGGAAGGACCAGACCAAAGCAACATGAAACACAGCGTTCAAATTCCATAGTTTCAGGTCCATCATTGGGTGGTGTAAGCTGGGTTCCCTAGGGCTTGGGCAGCCCAGCTCCTGTGACCTTGCTGATGTACCCATGTGGCCTGTCTTGGCTCACTGCTCTGTCACAGTCCCTGTTTCTGGAGCCTCTTGCATCATCAGCTTCATGAGTCATGCTGTCAGGCCACTCACAGGGAATCCAGCCCTGGTGGACATAGCCAAGCTTCCCATGCGTCCCTAGAAATCTGCTGGATACCTCTACCACTCTGCAATTCTTGGATTCTGCATGCCTCAAAAACCAGCATCCTGTCAGTGACACCGGGGTCTATTGCCAACTTATGCAGTAGCACCGTGATGGAGTCCTGGGAAGGCACTTCTAAGCAAACCTTAGTTACTGGTGGGCGGGGGAGTTTTCTGGTGGTACTCTTCTAGGGGTGTTTCAACTAAGGTTACATTTGCATCCTCGGCCTACAGTAGTTAGGGGTCTCCAATTTCCAAGGATCTCTGGTGATTTTCCTGTCTACTCTGTAGGGAGTTTTGTTTTGTTTGATCCAGTGTTTTTAGCCCATGCTGACCTAGAACTCAGTACACCCTCAACCTCCCAGTGCTCCTCTTACCTGGTTTCCTAAATACCAGGTGACTGTGCCTGGGATTCAGGACTGCCTAAGCCCTTTGGAACTCAGCTCCCCAGATGCTGTCCTGAGTGAACCAGGATTAGCCCACCTGGGTTTAGTTTAACTGGGTGAACTGAGTTAGTTTAACAGAATGCTTCCCTTTTTCTTAAGGTCTTGATGAGTCAGGAAGTTCTCTTCGCTGTCTTCTTGTTGTGATTTCTAGAGGTCCTTTCAGGGCCTCTGGATCATGCTGACCCCACAGCAGCTAGCCTGGAGGCCTGAGGCCGTAGCCACATGGATTGTAAGCGGTTCACTGAGACAGACAGTTTGCAGGCTGCTTCTCTGCTGGGGTTCAGTTCCCTCTGTGTGTGTGTGTGTGTGTGTGTGTGTGTGTGTGTGTGTGTGTGTGTGTGTGTGTGTGTGTGTGTGTTTACCTCTGTTAGTCATTGTGCCTTTGGAACCAGTGGCCCTAACTTCTGACAAGTGCCCAGAGGGACTTTTTGAGGCATTGTGGATGTGTTATGTGTGCATTGCCCTGTGTATATGATTCATAGCTATGAGCCTGTGTGGTTTATATAACTTGATGACTGATTTGATTTTTGTGAGAAAGTGTAAAATCACTACTTTAACTCTATTGTGATAAAATTTTCATTAACAAAATTAACCCTGAATTTTAAACTTTATAACTTAATAGCATTAATTACATTCATGATGCTGGACAGTCATTGCCACTGACCACTGTGCTTGTTACTCTAGAAGAACCTTCCATCTGGTTAATAAGAGTGTTAATAGTAATCATGTAAAGAATAAGTCCTTCTCTAAAGCCTAACTGGCTGTATGTATCAATGAGTTCAGCTGACAGAGCTTAATTGCAAAAGAGGGAGACTGCAGATTAGCTCGCTAGGTGGAGTCCTAACTTTTTCCAGATTGCTATCACTGTCGCCCAGTACTTAGCAGTCTTGGCTTATATCTTAGTTTAGGGTTTTATTGCTATGAAGAGACACCATGGCCATGACAGCTCTTATGAAGGAAAACATCTAATTGGGGCTGGCTTGCAGTTTCAGAGTTGGGTCCATCATCATCATGGTGGAGCATGGCAGTGTGCAGGCAGACATGGAGCTGGAGAAGGAGCTGAGGGTTCTCCATCCTTACCCATAGGCACAGGAAGTGAGCTGTGTGTGTCACACTGGGCTTAGCTTAAGCATAGGAGACCTCAAAGCCCAGTCCCACCGTGACACACTTCCTTCAACAAGGCCACACCTACTCCAATAAAGCCACACCTCTTAATAGTGCCACTCCCTATGGGGGAACTTTTTTTTTCTCCAAACCACCACAGCTCGTTATTGTCCTTTCCTGTGTAATCAGAGAGATAGCGCAATAGTTAGGAGCATTGACTGCACTTCCAAAGGGCCGGTTCTCAAATCCCAGCATGGTGGTTCGCAGTCATCTGTAACTCCAGTCTCCAGGATCCAGGGTCTTTTGGTCTCAGAGTGCATGTGGTACAGACATGCACATAGAAGTAAATAAAAGCTTGTTTTAAAAAAGACATGTACAAGAAGGTGCTGGGGCTGCTGGGTTACACTCACCCACCTCTGCTGCTGCTGGGACCTGTGTAACGTCCTCAGTGTGTGCAGTCCTTTCTTCTTTCCAATGTGATGGAACATTGCATACGAATGAGACAATAGCCTCACAAAGCCACGAGAGTGCCCGCTGTGGCGTATCTGCCAGTAGCTTTCCATTGTTGGTTTCCTATATTGTCCTCATTTTTGTTATATGTGCTAGGCAGATACTGAACACTGAGCTCTCCAGAACTCTTCTTTTTTGAAAAGAAATTTTACTGCCAATCTGAAAGCAACCTCCCAGCACTCAGGAGGCAGAGACAGGCAAATCTCTGAGTTTGAGGCCAGCTTGGTCTATAGAGTTGAGTTCTAGGACAGCCAGAGCTACACAGAGAAACTCTGTCTCCAAAAAACCAACAACAAAAAAAGAAAAGAAAAAACGTATTATAGCAAGTCTCCAGGTCAGCCATTGTTTATCAGACTGGCTGCACCAGGCCAGGTGCTGAGGCCATGATGCTCCGCAGCCCTCAGAACCAGAGTGCTCAAACTGAGCCCACAGGAGTGATGGGAGTGACTTGGACAGAGATCTCCCTCCAGTGGAAGACAAGGTGGAGTGGTTAATAGAGGTATAAATGATTACTGGGGAGAAAAGCCATGCATGAATTAGAACTCCAGAAAATCACATTGCTGGGCACATGCCAGTAACCCTAGGGAGTGGAGGGAGATTTAGGAGTTCCAGGTCACCTCAGCTGCATAGTGAGTTTGGGGCCAGTCTCAAAAAAGCATGTCTAGAACGACTTCCTGTTTGAACAAGACTTAGAAAGGTCAGT